TAAAACCGTGTTCAAAGAATCCTGTAGCTTCAGGGCAAAACTTACCAGGTCTAGAGGAAGGGGAAGAAGAGCATGAATGGAGGAAACTAAGAAAAAGGACCTAGAGGACTGATAGGGTATAAGAAATGTTTAGGTGCCTTTTTATGGGGCTAGAGAGATGGGCCATAAATCAATTGTAATTGTATGATGGATGACAGGATTTCAGAGATTGAATCACCTGAAATTCATGTAAAATGATCTCCTCCCCTGTCTCCATTCTACAAAAAGAGAAAATTACATCCAGAAAGGGGAGGCTCCAGGTACTATAGTCAGGTTCTATGGAAAACTCTGTCTAGAACTCTGCCAGAGAACTGGTTGTACCTCATTATGCCATCCTCCAAGATGGTTTGTCCCATGATCACCAAATCAATTCTTTTCATCGATATTTCTTTCTTACTTTCTCCCTCCTTCCCTTCCTTTTCTTCCTTCCTCCCTTTCTTTCTTTCTTTCTTTCTTTCTTTCTTTCTTTTTCTTTTTCTTCCTTTCTTTCTGTTAGAAAGAGAGAGAGAGCATAACCAAGGAAAGGGGCAGAGAGAGAGGGAAAGAGAGAGAATCCCAAGCAGACTTAGCACTGTCAGCAAGAGCCTGACACAGGGCTTGATATCACCACCCGGGGATCATGATCTGAGCTGAAATCATGATCTGACTCTGACGCTTGACTGAGCCACCTAGGCGCCCCCTACCCATATTTCTTAAATATATGTTGCTCTCCATGTCTTGGAATGAACAGGAAAATACAAGCTCTTATTCTTTTCACTAATCTCTTTCACATCAAAAGCTCCCTACTAACTTCAAATTATCTTGTTGCATGTAACAAAAGAGAATGTATTGAACTTTTGTCCAGTAAATGCTCCGTCGGCACCCACTATGGCCAGGCATATAAAGGTGAACGGCACAGACCCTGTGGTCAAGGAGCCGACAATCCAAAGAAGACAAACATGCTTACAAATAAGCATAATCCTCTAAGTACACTCTGTCACGGTCGATGTGCTGTGATATTAAAGAGAATAAAACTCTTTAGACCTAGAGAGGGAGGTTAGGAAAAGGAAACTTCACTGCCAGGTGATGTGGGAAGAGAGCCGGAGACAGAATAGCTGGTCAACAGGCAGAGACAAAAGGTGGCCAGGTCCGGTCTGTGCCAGGCACAATCGCTTAGGGAAAATTACCAGAAAACATGGCAAGCACGAGGTAGAAGAGGAAGTTGGGCTGGACTTCTGCAGAGAAAAACCAGTTGGGCAAGCTGGCAGCAGAGTCAAGACCAAAGTACAAACCAACCTCTTTTAAGTTGTAAGGAGACATTTTTAAAAACAGAGAGAGAGAGAAGAAATGAATTTGTCTCTGCACTCTAACTAGAATCGGATGATTAAAAGTGAATCATCGCGGGAGCGCCTGGGTGGCTCAGTCGGTTGACTGACTTCAGCTCAGGTCACGATCTCAAGGTCTGTGAGTTCGAGCCCCGCGTCGGGCTCTGTGCTGACAGCTCGGAGTCTGGGGCCTGCTTCGGATTCTGTGTCTCCCTCTCTGTCTGCCCCTCCCCCATTCATGCTCTGTCCCTCTCTGTCTCAAAAATAAATAAACATTCAAAAAAAAAAAAAACTGAATCATCGCAAATAAAAAAAGAAAAAAGAAAAGCAAAAGTGAATTATTGCCAGCTGAGCTGTAAGAAAACTCTAAGAACAAGACCTGGTACTGGTCTCGTACAGATACCGGCAGCTGCTACCAAACCCACTTTTGAGGGTGTTAATCCTGGGGCGAGCGTACAAATTCCTGGCCAAAAAAAATTTGCTTTCTCTTCCCCCTTTTTTGGAATCATGCCTCTTCTCTTCTGGCTTTTTCTTTCTTGCTTTAGAAATCAGTTGTGGTACCTAGATTAGAAATTTCAACTGGAAAATACTCAGTCTCTTGTGATGTGATCTTGTTGGTCCTCTGTAGCCTCTAAGAAATGATCCTTCAAAACTGCCCGGTGATGAGGCACTGACAGACAGCCTTCGAGAAGCAGACCCTCCTTCTCTGAAGAACCACCTTTCTATGGGTGTCAAATTGTAGGGACATGTTGTTACAAGAGGGAGATATCATTACATTTTCAAATCCAAAGTCAGCTCTGAGGAAAAGTTTATGAGTGCTGCAAAATACGTTGTGAGCCACACAGGAAGGTCAGGTAAAGGTCACTCTAGAGATGGGGCCCTCAATCCAAAGAGGAAGAAAAAAGAGCAGGAAGCCAACATTGCTTGCAGACCTCCTTCGTGCTAGGCACCACCATAAGAACTTTACATGCGTTAGCTAATGTTTTGCTTTCCTCTTTTCCTTATTTCACTCAGATTTATTCTTTTAAGTACCTCAGAGTAGTCTGTGCACATTCTATCATTTCTACTGAGGATGAATTTGGAGATGATTCGAGCAAGGAGACTGATGATGCCAGAATCCGGGAAAGACCTACCTCAAAACCTATCTCTTCAAATTCCCAGAATATATATTCTTTGTAAGAATTCCTACTATTTTTCAGATGACAGGGCATTTCAGGATACACATTGACAGGAACATTAGGATTTCTTAAAATACAGAGTGGGTATAAAGACTACTAAATACTCTGTGGGTTTTGCCCTGTACTGGCACATCCCTCTGCTGAAAATTAGTGCATTTTCTGAACCTGGGTGCTGACAGGAGAATGAACACAGGAAGAAGAAAGCCACATGAGGACTTCACTCTCCCACCTGACAGACTCTCTCGAGACGGCCCTGCAACCCTGGCCACTGATTCACATTCTTCTCTGCTACATGCCTGCCTGTGCCTATTAGACTATTAAAATATTAATAGGGTCTTGGTATCTGTCATTATTAATTTTAGAGACTAACAAGGACATGCTGAGCCATACTATTGATAGATTTGTAGAATATGTTAATCACAGCACTCATTACTCAGCTAAGTTATTATTTTTTCAGATGCTTTTTCCCCACTAATCATTTCTGATATTTAACAATGTATCATCTCCAACGATGCACCCTTATTTCTTAGAAGTCTATTTATATATGTATTTTTTATAATGTCTTTTATAGCAACAATTTATTAAACAATTGTGGGGCCCCATCACGTAATGACAAAATCTTCTGACAAATATCTAGAGAGTTCAGCTAAGAAAATGAATAGATTATTAAATCTGGCAGAAAATAATATGTGCCCGCTTTTGAAATGAGAAAGCTGAAGCAAAGAGTTAATCGGCTTTCTAACAACTAACATGTATGAAGATCTAATCTTTTCTCATTTCAGAAGCTTGAGATTTACACTTGGGGTGTACATTGAACAAAGGCAGACTCAGGTATTCCCCTTAGAGCATATGACTTACATAGAACTGCAAAGGTAACTAAGAAGTCTTTTTCTTGTCACTCAAAACCTTCAACACAAATGATGTATAGAGGAAAAGAACAAATCATGTAGTCCTTAAGAAGTAATTGCAAATCCCTTCTTCAGGGAACGATTCGCATCCTTCTTCATGAGTGACTGCCATCACACACGTGTCTCTCCAGCCTTTCTATTCTCCTCGATCTATTTCCACTATCATTTCTAAGAGATCAGTATATGAACTGCCCCCAAATGGGAAGGTGGGGGCAAAATGTATCGACCAGTCTTAAATTAGAAAGGCTTATGCAGGGGCGCCTGGGTGGCTCAGTTGGTTAAGCAACCGACTTCAGCTCAGGTCATGATCTCGCGGTCCGTGAGTTTGAGCCCTGCGTTGGGCTCTGTGCTGTTGGCTCAGGGCCTGGATCCTGCTTCGGATTCTGTGTCTCCCTCTCTCTCTACCCCTCCCCTACTTGTGCTCTCTCTCTCTCTCAAAAAATGAATAAACATTAAAAAAAAATTTTTTTTAAAGAAAGGCTTATGCATCATACCCCATTACATACAGCACAATCTATATCAAAAGGCTCCAGGTGAGTCAATGCTTACGCCATCCTTCAGATATTGTGTTACTACTTACTTACTGTAGTGTCTACACCCTCCACGAAGAGGGCTGAGGAAAGAAAGGGTGAGAAATGCAGATGGGACCTGAAAATAATCTGGTTGTATTATCACCATTACTATTTATTAAATACCTCTTAAGGAGACTTCAGGCAGAAGTAGAAATGCTTTCAGTGTAGTGTCTGAAATATCCCCAGTTGTTCTTTATCTAAGGCTCTCTCTACCACAAATCAGATAGTGATACACCTCTTTTGAACACAACTAGCTGGGCTTTTCATGGCCCAGACTCACGAAGTGACAAGTTAAAACAGTCTTACTCCTCTGAGGCCACAACTAAAGTGTAAAAGAAAACAAAACAAAAAAATAACCCCAACAAATTTTTTTAATTTTTAGTCTTGTGTAGTTCATGCTTAAATTGAGAATCCAGATCTCTTCTAATGACCTTGAAGAAGCTTCCAGTTTTCCAGTTGTAAAATGTAAATCTCAGCCCACTTCCCCAAAAGCATTCAATGATGAATTCCGTTAAAGAGAACATTATATGAAATGGGACACTCTGAAAAGAGGGGCTTGTAATTAACCCATGTTTCCTCACAAACTCTTTACTTTCACTCCTGTTATTAAAAATCTTCTGAAAATTAGTTCTGTCATCTTTGGTATTTAGAACATAACTGAACCGTCTTGGTGAATGAAGCCCCCTTGTGGGTTAATCCATCATTCTGAAACCAGTTATTGGTCCCCGTTACGGGGAAGGTAGAAAGTATAGTAGAAAAGACAAGAGAATGCTGACATCATAAACATCCTGAAAGTTGTTACTTTTCCACTTAATCCCTGACACAACGCCTTCTCCTGTGATCTCTTTAAGTCTCAAGTGGGTATGTAGGTGAGTGGGCCAGTGAGGGGTGGCGTGTGTGAAAAGAATGGATAATAATTCACATTTGTTCCATCATGGAGTGAACTACTAACACTCTTCATGTCAACCTTTTTTTTTTTTTTTTTTTTTTTTTTTGCCAGGCAGTCACTCTCTTTGTCTCTGCCTTACTACCATTGCCACAATGATACTACTGGGTAATGCTATGGAGTGAATTGTACCCCATAGCCCCCCCAGTTCCTATGGTGAAGCCTTGACCCACAGTGTGATAGTGCCTGGAGATGGGACCTTTGAGAGTAAACAGGTTTAGATGAGCTCATGAGGGGAGAGTCTCATGGATTAGTGTCATTGTAAGAAGACATCTTAGACCACAAAGCTTGCTTTCCCTCTTTCCACAGAAGAGGTCATGTGAGCACACACTGAGATGCCCACCATCTGCAAACCAGCTGGAGAACTCTCACCAGAACCCGACCATGCTGGCACCCTGGTCTCAGACGTACAGCCTTCAGAACTGAGAGAAAATAAATTTCTGTTCTTTAAGCCACCTCACCTACGTTATTTTGTTATCACGGTCTGAGCTGACTAAACCAGCTGAAGAGACAGAGATATTTTGGGAAGAGTCGTTTCCATAAAAATAGAGTGGCTCTAAATGCAGTGGACAGTTATTTCATCTCCCTCATGCTCATACTTAGGAAAATTTCATTTAAATACACACCTATTGACCAGTGCCCAGGGCTACTACTCTAGAAAAGCAAACGAAAGCGTCAGAATGGAGGAACAAGAGAGTGACTACAGCTCTTCTCAGAAGATGGGGCAGTCCATTGCATTTTCTACACATGATATCCCACTCCAATTGCAGCAGGGAAGAGCAAAGGCACTTTGTGATCCCTCTGGGAAGGAGCTGGAGCCCTGCCACCAAAGATGTCAACACCAGGGCCGACTGCAGGCCAGCCCGAGCTCGTGCAACAGCCCCTCCGCACCTGGGCCCTCCCTGTGCCTTGTCCCTTATATTCCCCATGTCCTCATGGTCTCTGGTGAGGCCCAGTGAGTTCAGTGAAGAGATCACTGGCCTCCAACAAAGAGTAACTTAAAAGGAGAGAAAGTGTGCTAAATCCCACTCTACAAACCAGGTCTGTTCAGTTCTGACTTGCGAATACGAAGCTTTCCATTTGACTCCATATGGTTGTGTTGCATTAGGGTCCACACAAGGCTAAGATACACAGTTAGGTTTCCAGCTGCCAGTGGCCAAAAGTGAGGAAGTTCTCGGAGACATCAGTTTCTGATAAACCGTCTTCCCCTGTTTAAAAAAAAAAAAATTAGAACAAAATGTCAACGCCATGCAGGCAAGCGCAGAGATGGAAATGAAAACTCTTCCTATCACCGCGGGCTTTATTTTTATTTTTAATACAATTGATTTGGATCAATTTGAGATAACTGCCGGGAGACGCAAGGCTTTATTTTTGGACACGTCATTTGTTTTTGTTTCTGATCTGGGCTCAAAAGGAAGATTGCCAGTGTTTTTCCAGTGGAACAAAACAGTTCCAGAAGAGTTAAAATAAGACACCCTACCTGCTTAATCTGCCAGAAAACACATGAGAGGAGCAATCAGCTCTGGAAAGAGTTGCTCTGAATGAGGTATGCCTGGCTGCTTTAGGCCAGGCTGTTTGTCAGTCTTTCAAAATTCAAGTCATTACCAGATGCTGATCTACTATAATATTGTGATATTTTATCTGATTACACTTACCTGATTGTGCCTTATCTGCTATTTGCCTTTCCATTCTTCCATGTATATTAAATGCAGGTGCTTTTATTATTCTGAGAGCTGGAAAGTGTTGACTGCTCTGAATATAAATGGGGATATTATATCATTAACTTGCTCCGAAAGCAGGGCCATTCACTGTGTAAATCACATGCAAGGTACCTAGTGGAGACACAATAAACCATAATGTCTTGAGAAAGAAAGCAATGAGGAATGGATAAGGAGATAAAAATTTAAGGCATTGTTAAAGAAGGGTAATCTTCAAAATCCTATTTGGTTCTTTCAAACTAGCATTCATTGATAATATAACCTTTATATTAGAAACTTTTCTAAGTTCACAAAAAAAAAATAAAACTTTGGGGGAAGGCATGATAACATGTAATGTTATCACTCATAGGATTGCATAAAAACACGATCACTAACATTCTATGGCTTATCTAAGTTAGGAGAAGCAGTCTAATATTTTAGTAAAGTACACTTTGCTTTGGCAAATATATTCTTACCTGACGTAGGTGGACAGCTTAAACAAGGTGAACAAATAGCCAAATGCTTTGCGTATTTCCAGATGTTAAAAGTGAATGGTGTAGAATCTGGTTGCGAATTCCAAAGAAAGTAATACGCAGTGAATTAAGGCAGAGCTGTGACAGAGTGCGCCTGTCCAACGGTCTGAGGTTATATGCTCTGCTTAGTTTCCACTATGTTGGCCTCACTAAAGTTAATCCACAGCTTTTTAAGTGGAAAGTTTCAGAAAATCCATTTCTGGAGCAAATGTTATGTGAGAGCGGAAATGAGCCACTGTCCTCTGTTGGATAGAGTATCAGATGGCCTGTCATCTATCAGTGTGTCAGATTCCGCTACGGAGGTATAGCTGGGAGCCAGGCCCTGCAAAAGAACGCAAGTTATTCTCTGCCTGAAGCAGTATGGCCAGAGTCATCTTCTGACAATCAGATCTGAACATGTGGGACAGAAGAGAACAACTATGGATGGAAGCAACTGGGAACAAGCAGAGTAAGGTTCTCTCTCCCATGTTATCAAGGAGGAAACGGTTTCTGATTTCACTTTCTTCTCAAATTCCATGTGTGGGGGTGTGAGGCTACTCCTCTCTCCCTGCCATTTACCAGTAGGTACAAATGCATATAGCGACCAATTTTCTTTGAACTCAACAAATGTATATTTAAAACACTTCTTAGGGGCTCCTGGGTGGCTCAGTCGGTTAACCGTCTGACTTTGGCTCAGGTCATGATCTCCCAGTTCATAAGTTCAAGCCCCTGTCAGGCTCTGTGCTGACAGTGTGGAGGCTGGAGCCTGCCTTGGATTCTGTGTCTCCCTCATTCTCTGCCCCTCTCCACCCTCTCAAAAATAAATGAACATTTAAATTTGTTTTTGAGATGAAATTTATTGTCAAATTGTTTCCATACAACACCCAGTGCTCATCCCAACAGGTGCCCTCCTCAATACCCATCACCCACCCTCCCCTCCCTCCCACCCCCCATCAACCCTCAGTTTGTTCTCAGTTTTTAAGAGTCTCTTATGGTTTGGCTCTCTCCCTAACTTTTTTTTTCCTTCCTTTCTCCCATAGTCTTCTGTTAAGTTTCTCAGGATCCACATAAGAGTGAAAACATATGGTATCTGTCTTTCTCTGTATGACTTATTTCACTTAGCATAACACTCTCCAGTTCCATCCACGTTGCTACAAAAGGACATATTTCATTCTTTCTCACTGCCAAGTAGTATTCCATTGTGTATATAAACCACAATTTCTTTATCCATTAGTCAATTAATGGACATTTAGTCTCTTTCCATAATTTCTTTAAGGGCACCTGGGTAGTTTGGTCAGTTGAGCATTGGACTTCAGCTTAGGTCATGATCTTGTGGTTTGTGAGTTTGAGCCCTGCACTGGACTCTGCTGTCAGCACAGAGCCTGCTTCAGATCCTCTGTCCCCTCTCACTGTCCCAACCCTGCTTGCACTCTCCCAAAAATAAAATAAATATTAGGGAAAAAAAACACCTCTTTAAGTCAAGGCTGCTTTATAATCAGAGAATCCATTCTTCTTAAATTATATGTTTGGAAACAAAACATGAATATGGAAGATGGTCTGCTGTTTTGAATAATTCCACATTTGCACGTATTTTCTCAGGAAAGCCATTATAATAGGTTTCTCCTAACATGATTAAGCCTCATTTATTTTTTATATATAAAAGTAATTTTTTTTCAACGTTTATTTATTTTTGGACAGAGAGAGACAGAGCATGAACGGGGGAGGGGCAGAGAGAGAGGGAGACACAGAATCGGAAACAGGCTCCAGGCTCTGAGCCATCAGCCCAGAGCCCGACGCGGGGCTCGAACTCCCGGACCGCGAGATCGTGACCTGGCTGAAGTCGGACACTTAACCGACTGCACCACCCAGGCGCCCCTATAAAAGTAATTTTAACTGGGTATTACTTCACATTTTTAGAAGGTCTAGCCTTGAGAAGTTGTGCAAAGTTGTGAAAGGCAAAATAAATATCCCAAATACAAAAGGTAAACCTCTAAACACTTTTCAAAGAGAATGTGTAGGAGAATGTATTCATGACTAAGGATAGTCAAGATTTCTTAGGTCATAGAAAGTAATAACCATACAAAATAATTAGGTTTCATCAAAAAACTAAAAACTTCTAGGAGCGCCTGGGTGGCTCAGTCGGTTAAGCATCCGACTTCGGCTCAGGTCATGATCTCGCGGTCCGTGGGTTCAAGCCCCGCGTCGGGCTCTGTGCTGACAGCTCAGAGCCTGGAGCCTGTTTCAGATCCTGCGTCTCCCTCTTTCTCTGACCCTCCTCTGTTCATGCTCTCTCTCTCTCTGTCTCAAAAATAATGTTAAAAAAAAAATTAAAAAAAAAAACTAAAAACTTCTACTCATCAAAAGACACAATTAAGAAAATAAACAGGCAAGCTATACACTTGAAGGAAACACTGGCAAAACATATATCTGACCAAAGACTGTTATTCAGGATCTACAAAGAACTGTGACAATTTAACAACAGAAAGGCAAACAAGCATATTAAAAATGGGCAAAAGGGGCACCTGGGTAGCTCAGTCAGTTAAGCGTCCAATTGTCAGTTTCGGCTCAGGTCACTATCTCACAGTTTGTGGGTTCGAGCCCCGTGTCAGGCTGTTCACTGTCAGCACAGAGCCTGCTGAGTATTCTCTCTCTCCTTCTCTCTCTCTGCCCCTCCCTGGCTCATTCTCACTCTCTCTCTCTCTCAAAAGAAATAAACTTAAAAAAAAACGGGGAAAAGATTTGAAGAGTCAAAAAGTATACATAAATGAATGGCCCACAAGCACATTAAAAACTGCTCAGTGTCATTTGTCATCAAGGAAATGCAAATTAAAACCACAAGGAGGGGCGCCTAGGTGCTCAGTCAATTGAACAGCAGACTCTTAATCTCACCTTGGGTCTTGATCTCAGGGTCTTGAATTCAAGCCCCGCATTGGGTTGCATGCTGGGCATGCAGCCCACTTAGAAAAAAATAAATGAAAAAAATAATAAAAATAAATAAATCCACAAGGAGACAACATTACACAACCACCAGAATGGCTATATTTAAAGAGACTGACTCCAATCAAGGATGAGGTGACCGACTTGGAGCAAGGCTATCAATGACAGGGTAAAATGACACAACCACACTGGGACGATGTCTGTAGGTTTCTTCTAAAATGAATCACACACCTTCCCTATGGCCAGCAGCCCCCACACAAGTATTTACACAATATAAAAGAAAACACATCCACAAGACTTGTGATGTTTATAGCCGCTTTATTCATACAGCCCAAAACTAGAAACAGTCCCAGTGTCCACAAATTGGAGAAAAGATAATTAAACAGTGTTGAGCAATGAAACTGGCAACACAAAAGAATGAGAGTTCAGCAGCACCTGGGTGGCTCAGTCAATTGAGCATCCGACTCTTGGTTTTGGCTCAGGTCATGATCTCATGGTTCCTGAGTTCAAGCCCCAGATAGGGCTCTGCCCTGTCATCTCAGAGCCTGCTTGGGATTCTTTCTCTCCCTCTCTCTCTCCCCCTCCCCCGCTCATTCTCTCTCTCTCTCTCTCTCTCTCTCTCTCTCTCTCTCTCTCTCTCATACATAAATAAACTTAAATGTTTTTAAATGTTAAAAATGTTAAAAAGTAACATTTTTAAAAAGAACGAGAGTTCATATACTTTATTGATCTAAAACCTGGTTAGGCAGCAGAATTATCTGAGAGTTGCCTAAAAAATACAGGTTTCTTGGCTACCCTTGAGAGATTCTGATTCAGTAGGTCAGTAGTTTTTAAAACGGTCCTCATGTAATTTCAGAGCAAACCAGGGTTTGGGAATCTATGATCCTGTTCAATTTTCAACTACTTCAAACAGATCTTCCAAAAAGGTGGCGAGGGAAGTAACTTTTATTTTCCTGCTTCTACATATGAGGTACTATTCATGTTATCTCATTTAGAGTTCATGACAACTCCGCCAAGTGGGTGTTATAAACCCCACTTTATAGTCTGGAAAATCGACCCCAGGCAACATTAAGTGACTTTGTCCAAATTCATTATAGCAAACAGTAGAGGAACCAAGATTTGAAGCCAGATGGGTCTACAAAGCTATCACACTATCACAGACCTTTTCACAAAAGATAAGGGGGAAAGTTCCTGGAAAATCTTCTGACAGAGAGAAAGAGAGACAGAGACAGACAGAGATGAAAACATAGAGAGAGTTCTTTGTTCCCTTATGCTTTCTACACCCAGATTGCTCTACTTCAGGACTTCAGATCTTCAGAGTTCTCCAAGTAAGCGTCCCAAATTAAATACTGCTTTTCCCACTTAAATAAATAAATAAATAAATAAATAAATAAATAAATAAACAGTCTCTAGTACTTGATGGTTAAAACACATCTTAGGCATACTGTCATCTGCCTAGCTGCCTAAAGGAAGAATGGGGGGGGGGGCACCTGGGTGGCTCAGTCGGTTGAGCATCTGACTTTGGCTCAGGTCATGGCCTCATGGTTCATGAATTTGAACCCCACATTGGGCTCTCTGCTGTCAGCACAGAGCCGGCTTCAGACCCTCTGTCCCCCTCTCTCTGCCCCTCCCCCACTCACACTCTCTCTCAAAAATAAAAAAACATTTTTTAAAAAAGTTTAAGAAAGAGGCACCCGGGTGGCTCGGTCGGTTAAGTATCCAACTTCAGCTCAGGTCATGATCTCACAGTTCTTGAGTTCGAGCCCCACGTCGGGCTCTGCACTGACAGTGCGGAGCCTGCTTGGGATTCTCTCTCTTCCCTCTCTCTCTGTCCCTACCCCACTTGTGCTCTCTCTTTCTCTCTCAAAATAAATAAACTTAAAAAGAAATTTTTTTTTAAAAAAAGCACTTTCAATAAATACTATCCTAAGTTGGGCAGAGGGTTAAGGTCAAGGGGTTGCATAAACCCAGAATATGGCTATACATAATACCCACTCAAAACTATCTTTTTATTAATCATAATTAATATGTATTGAATATTTATAATGTGTCAAGCATTGTTTTAAAAACTTTACATGTATTAACTTACTTAAACTAACAACTCTTTGAGGTAAATGCTATTATTACTCCCCACATTATAGCTGAGGAAACTGAGGCACAGAGAAATTTGAGGCCAAAGGTCACAAAAGTGGCACAGCCAGGATTAGAACCCAAGTAGTCAGAGCAGAATTAGTATTTGGTTATTAGTATTTGGTTTCTCAGTTCTCAGAATTAGTATTCTGAGAAAACCACCTGGTATCTGAGGGTCTTTATGGAATGTATTTTAATGACCTAACAAGAGAAGGCAAATTCATGACTCACTACCCCTACCTGCACCTTTGGCCAAATCATTCATAGATCATGGCTCTCCAGGTGGGGGGCTCAGAATCCATTTTTAGGTAGTGCTCAGAGCAAGCCTTACCATTATTTGGTAAAAACTGACAAGGGACTAAAAGGAGACCTGTATACAGCTGTCAATTCCCTACTGTTGCTTTACTTCCCAAGTACATGAGAATACCCACTTGGAACCTTCTTATGGACAACCTACGATGAGTGACCTCTATGTTACAGGATCAGAAGAGCTAGAAAATACTGCCTTCATCGATGATTAGAGATGATTTTACCCCTCTTGGCATAAGATGCTTGGTGTAAGATACTCGAGCAGGGAGATGCTGTTCCCTTGATACTCACAGAGAGGCACTGAGGGCTTTCAGGTACAAGGGGGCAAA